ATAATGTGCACCTGAAATTTCACAATGTCATAAACTATCATGAGCTCAATAAAATAATAATTAAAAAAAAGAATCCAATCAAAAAATGGGCAGAGGACCTGAACAGTCATTTTTCTAAAGAAGACACATGGATGTCCAACAGATACATGAAAAGATGCTCAACATCACTAATGATCAGAGAAATGCAAATTAAAACTACAATGAGATATCACTTCATGCCTATCAAAATGGCCATTATAAAAATGACAATAAATAACAAGTCTTGGCAAGGATGTAGAGAAAAGGGAAACCTTGTAGACTATTGGTGGGAATGTAAATTGATACAGCCACTATGGAAAACAGTACAGAGGTTTCTTAAACAATTAAACAATTTGTTTCTTAAATTGTTTCTTCAACAATTAAAAATAGAACTACCATATGATCCAGCAATTCCACTTCTGGGTATTTATCCAAAGGAAGCAACAACAACAAAAAGAACCCAGTAATTCGAAAAGATGCATGCACCCAAATGACTGGAGACCCTCCCTGGTGAGGAAACTGAAATATGTGGGGACAAGAAGAAGTTTGATTTCTGGTACCAGCTGAATGTGATACTGAAGAATTATCTAAGAGAAGAGTACCTACCCACATGGAAGGCAGGATTGTTTTCCGCATCCCACCAAGACTGAACAAAGCATTTGATAGGAGCCTAATCAGTTTGGATAAAACTTAAAAGTGAGGCACAAAAGGAAATGTTTAAATAATAACATAATTTTGAACACTGTGGGGAAAATGGCAGGTATGGCTTAAGAAGAAGAAAAATAGTAGAGGAAGCAACCACTAATTCTCAAGAGAAAGCGACAAAAGAGATTGGGAATAACACTTGCCTCAGAAGTTTAAAGCCGATGATTAAGATACAGGAATAAATAATAATATCACCTTACATGTGTAAAGTCTTTTATAGTTCACAAATTTCTTTTACACCCATACTGGAATATGACCTTCACCTCAACTCTGCTGTATTGAGGACCATTATCTTCACTTATGAAGGAGACAGGGACTCCAGAAGTGAATATGTAACTGAAGGTCACTCAACAGTAAAGAAGGTAAAACAGGCTGATCTTCACAAAGTGACAAATATGGATTCTTAAAAAAAAAAATAACGGTAATTGACGAGTTTAACGTCATCCACCAAGAAAATACTATAAAATATCATAAAATAAACTAAGAAATAAACACCTGTTTTTAGAAGCTAAAGAACGCTCATTATGATCAAGTTATTTGGAACTACGACTACTTTCGTTTTCAGAAATAGGACTGGAACCCTCTCTCTCTTTGGTCACTACTGAATCTTCTCAATACTCAGTGCACTGGAACACCATGCTCCACATAGTTAGTGAATGAAGGGTAGGCAAGCGAGTGAGTGAATTCTGTCTCTAAGTACAAACTCAAGAAATGCAGGCTAGAGGGAAGAAGTAGGATGATTCACAGTTAAATGAACAACTATACCCAGAAAGTTCTAATTAAAAGATTGACTTTAGCCTGGAAGACCTATCTCAGGGCACCAAGTTGTTCTTTTCCTCCTTAATATAGTAATCAGTAACTTGAAAACATAAAGTAATTACCATTATTTCCATTTTAGCTACCCTTACCATCTACTGCTGGTGGTCTAGTGGTTAAGATTCAGCAGTCTCACCACCAAGGCCTGGGTTCATTTCCAGGCAGGGAACCACACCACAGTCTGCTGGTTGTCATACTGTAGCCGCTGCATGTTGCTGTGATGGTAAAAGCTATGCCACCAGTATTTCAAAGACCAGAGGGTCACTCATGGTGGACAGCTTTCAGCAGAGCTTCCAGATTAAGACAGACAAGGATGTGGACCTGGCCACCCACTTCTGAAAAGTTGGCCATGAAAACCCCATGAACACCAGTGGGGCATTGTTTGATATAGCACCAGAAGGCAAGAGCATAGCACAAAAAGACCAGGTAGGGTTCCACTCTGCTGTACACAGGGTTGCTAGGAGTAGGAATCAGCTGGACAGCACTAACAACAACAAACCATCTACTGAACACTTACATTTTTGCATTATGGTAAATACTTTGCATGTATTATCTTATATATTTCTCCCATCATCTTTTTGAAGAACTACTTTAATTCCACTTTACAGATGAGAAAATTGAAATTTTAAAAGGTTACGTAATATTCTCAGGAATACACAATGAGTGAGTGGCAGAGTAAAGATGCAAAACCCCAGCCTCTCCGACTCTAGGCCTGTCTTCTTAAGTAATATGTGTGTTATGCTTATCAAATCTGCAGAGGATACAGAACTATGAATGACAAAGAATATACGGAAGGCTGTCATAATATTTTGAATCAGAACTGAAAATAAGTTTAACAGATGTCATGAGAACATGAATTATTTAAAGGACTGATGAAGAGAAGAGAGATTAGATTTATTCTGCATAGACCTAGAAAGAAAACCTGGTACTGATGACAGACGTTCCAGGGATTTATTTCTTATTGAATTTCCCAATGCTTTTTGCAAGGTGGTAAGTTTTCCTGTCTTAAAAATGTTTACAAAGAAGTTCGCTGACCTGTCAGGAATGCTGCATATGAGGGAGGAGGTTAGGATATATGACCTCAGAGTCCCTCAACTTTATTTCAGAAAACATTTTTGAGCACATAGCAGGCACTCCAGGTTGATATGATTCTATTCACTTGTATCTTCCATGGTGTAGAACCTTATTTCCCTGTGCATCCCAATCACCTCTAGTTATTTCTCCTAAATACAACGTCCTTCTGGAATACAGCATCTAGTCATATATGTACATGATCATATGTGATCATACATGTACATGAGAAGATTCAATGCAGCATTATCTATAACTTTAAGAAAGGAAACAAGCTGGAGAGCCAACCACAAGGTCATGGTTAAATGAATTATAGAATACTCTGCAGGAGTAAAACAAATGGTTAAATTGTGAAAGAAGTCTGTACAATAGGTATAAAATAGCATGATTATTTTAAAAAACTATATGTATAGAAGAATAAGGAGAAGCATGCTTACTATAGCATTATTTTTCACATCAAAAAAATATAAACAACCTAAAAGCCAATACAGAGTAGGCTGGAACAATTTCCAAAGAAATGAAGCAGGATAAATGTTCAACTCGAAAATGCTGGCCTAAATATCATTTTCCTTTATTAGCATATATTGGCAGATTTTGCTTTTTGGTTTCAGTTTTTGCTTTTGCCAAAATTATGTCATGTAATTGACTCTCTTCTTAAGGTCCATTATACATGGGTAGGTGCAAATCCATGACTTTATCTCTAGGACATACTAAGTACATAGTGATACCACATTAAATGCACATTTACCTTATGTAAATTCAACTAAATCTTTTCTGCAAAAAATTATTATAGATCATGGTCGCTAACTGTAAGCCAATTACATTATCTCGTTCTCAACTAAATGATCTGGTCTAATACTTAAGGAAAAACACGTTGTACTAAACATATTGTGGGGTTGTACATTACACACAAATCCACGTATTCTATTAATGAGCTGTTAGTAGATTCCAAAGGGAAATTTCTGGTCATCATTAATATTTGGTGAACAGATGTGAAGTAATGCATTATAAAATACTGCTCTTTTTCCCCTTCTTAATACATTATTCCATTTAATGCTTACAAAATCCTTATGAGACAGATACATCTCCAATTTTACAGTTGAGGAAACTGAGGCACAGAGAGGTTACTAACAACCTCAAAATGAAGGACTTTCCTTGTATTTTCACAAAATGTTGTTTCCTTGCAATTCCCTAATGAGTTTTTATACCACTTGGACTCAGTTTCCCCATGAGCTCATGACTCAGAAATCACTCTTGATTGCAAAGACTATTCATGAAGTTCTAATGTAAATACCACCCCTCTCCTCAACATCTCCCCAACACAACAGCCCTTGTCCCATAGAAGTGCACTTGCAGAAAGCCTCAATGGGCAGCCCTGCTTTTCAGAGGGCTTGCTAACAATGTGGCGATGGAAGACGTGAATGCAGACATCAGCACGGTTCTAAAAGTGAGGCCTAATTATAGCACTTCAGAGTGGAACAGGAAAGGTCCAATTAGTCTACCCTCTTCTCACTCTTCTGTGTGCAGTCCAGAACCAAGACAAAAGAAAGTCTAAGGAAAAGGATGAAAGGATGGATAGAATCAAAACCATAGACTGCCTTGGTTATCAGAGATATGATTTCCAATTTTTTGAATAATACATTAGGTTTTACCTAATGATAGGGGTTCACTAGGAAAACTGATCACTTAGAGTTAAGTTACAGAAAACAGTTTTGTTTTCACTACCACGTGCAGTCAGGTCACTAGCGGAATACATGAAAACATAACACTATTGTCTGCTCCTTATAAGCCACTTTCAAATGCTGGCATTAAATATTTTAACAATACAATCAATGCCAATTGGAAAATCTGCCTTAACCAAAATAAACTATTTGATGACAAAGGTCATTAATATATTACAAAACATTAGTTGTCTTCTCTCCCTTAATACTAAAAGCAATTATCTTTTTATTTCCTATAGAGATAAATGAAATCCCCTGACAGCTGATATTTAAGCTGTAACCAATTAAGGAGAAATAACTGGCTCTTCAAATTTATATTTACATATGCAAACCAAGCATCAAAATATCCTTCCTTTAGCAGTTCAAAGGGCTACTTTTATATGACTACAAAGGCTGAATGCATCCTTCACAATAATGATACAGAAATATCCCATCACAGCAGATGCAAAATCTATCATCATGTTACCCAGGTTGATGCCATTGTTCAAACACATCTATCATCAGACAGTGATCTGTCTCATTGAATGCTAGTATAAATTTAAGTCTCACAGGAGATGCATTACAGAACACATGTAGACACATCCAAATGTTTGACCCCAATTTATTTCAAATAAAACCCTTTTATATATGCCATACATGTGATGTTCAAAAGCAAAGTCAACACCATACCTGGTTATTTCTTCTTTAAGATTACATGGATCTTCGGCATAGAATTTAATACCAAAATACAAAGTATACGGAGGTCCAGCTAAAACAAGAAATAGAAAATAATTAAATTTCCATTATAAACTAGTCAAAGTAGTAGGGTAATATTACAAAACTATTAAAAATTATACTCACCAAAAATATTTGCAAACCATATATTGGATAAGAGGTTAACATCCAAAATATATGCAGAACTCGTACAACTCAACAGCAAAAAAACAACTGAATTAAAAAATGGGCAAAGGACCAGAATAGACATTTTTCCAATAACAACATACAAATGGTCATACAGATACATGAAAAGGCGCTCAACATCACTAAATAGCAGGGAAATGCAAATCAAAACCACAATGAGATATCACCTCACACCTATAAGAATGGCTATTATCAAAAAGACAAGAGCGCTGGTGAGGATGTGGAGAAAAGGGAACCTTTGTATGCAGTTGGTGGGAATGTAAATTGGTACAGCTATTATATAACTGTACGGAAGTTCCTCAAAAAATTAAAAATAGAGTTACCATATGATCCAGCAATCCCACTACTAGGTATTTATCCAAAAGAAATGAAATCAGGATCTCAAAGAGATATCTGAATTCCCATGTTCACGCAGCATTACTCACAATATCCAAGATATGGAAGCAACCTAAGTGTCCATCAACAAATTAATGGATAAATAAAATGCAAAACACACACACAGGAATATTATTCAGCTGTAAAAAAGAAGGAAAGTCTCCTATCTGCAACAACATGGATGAACCTGAAGAATATTATGCTAGGTGAAATAAGCCAGACACAAAAAACAGATACTGCCTATCTCATTTATATGTGGAACCTAAAATAGTCACACACAGAGATGCAGAGAATAGAATGATGGTTGCCAGGGTCTGGGGGAGGGGGAATTGGGGAGATGTTGGTCAAAGGGTACAAAGTTTCAATTATGCAAGATGAATGAGTTCTGAGGACCTAATATACTGCCTGGCGACAACAATTAATACCGTATTATATACTTGAAATTTGCTAAGAGTAGAGATCTTAAACTAAATCTTCTCACCACGCCCCTCCCAACACACACACACACTGGTAACTAAGTAGAGGTGATAGATAAGTTACTTAGCTTAATTGTGGTGATATTTTCACAGTGTATACATATATCAAAACATCAAGTTTTACAGCTGAAATATATGCAATTTTTATATGTTAAAGATAGCTCAATAAAGGTGCTTAAAAATTATACTAGGAATTTCTAAAGACACAAGAAAAAATAAAAATGAGAAAGACAGAGTTCAGATGCATAAGAGTAGGATTTCAACCATGCAGGTAACTATGTGTGTAGGGTCTATGTGCTCATCAACACAGGAAAAAAGACAGGACCAAATACACCAAAATGTCGCCAGTTCTCACCTCTGGTTAGTGAGGTTACACACAATTTTTATTTATAATTTTTCACATTTTCTACAACATACATGTATTTTTTTTCATAATGAAGATTATTGATAAACAAAATAAATGGTTTTCTAACCATCCAACTATCACTAGCTATTGCAAAAAGTACAAAAAAAGTCTGCAAAAAGCCATAAACAACTTAAATGTTGAGGAACAGGTGGACCACTTAGGCCAAGCCCAGCACGTCCACAGGGTACCACACAACTGTTTAAACGGGCAGAGGGAGAACTTTATGTGCTGAAGGGGGAAGATCACCAATCTGTATTTCTGACTGCAAAATTATGACCCCTTTTGTGAAAAAAAGTTACCCATTAAAATGCGGGGTTTTGGGGGCTGGCCCCATGGCCGAGTGGTTAAGTTCACGCACTCCGCTGCAGGCGGCCCAGTGCTTCGTTGGTTCCAATCCTGGGCGCGGACATGGCACTGCTCATCAAACCACGCTGAGGCAGCGTCCCACATGCCACAACTAAAAAGACCCACAACGAAGAATATACAACTATGTACCAGGGTGCTTTGGGGAGAAAAAGGGAAAAAAATAAAATCTTTTAAAAAAAAAAATGCGTTTTGTTTTTTCCCCCTAGAATACGTAAGAAGTTAGTAATAATGGCAAATTTGGGGAAGAGGGACTGGAAACTTAATTTTTTTCCAGGCTTTACTGAGGTACAATTGACAAATTGTAAGATACTTAAAAAGTGTGTAATGTGACAATTTGATATATGCACACACTGTAAAGGATTCCCTTCATCAAGTTAATTAACACATCCATCCCCTCATCTACTTACTTTTTTTTTCCTGGTGAGAACATTTAAATTTTACTCTCAGCAAAATTGGTAAGTTAGAAATTTCTTACCTTTTTAAGAAAAATAATCGTCAGTGAGGCTACGTGGTAGGATTAGGGGCAATATTTGTCTCATTCGTAAACTCTTCTGAACTTAAGAATGTGGTCTTACATATTTAAGAAGACATTTCTCATCTCAGTCATTTACCACACAGAGAAGAACTACATGCACAAATACCAAATATATATGTGTAACAAAGCATGGAATTGTACCTACACAGGCAAACATAAAATATAATTAAACACTCACATTCTGCAAGAGAACACAAGCCTCTTGGGTGCCAGCCACATTTTATTATGCTTTTACTACAAATGTTTCTATTTCAGAGCATATGACTCTAACCTGCACTGTTTCCAAAACTGCATACTTCTGAGCAGTGTGGTAACTAAATCTTATATTAAATCCGTTTTAAAATGGATTTGTTACCTGGTGCACCAATTAGTATTCATAGTTTCTAATTTTTTAACAAAAGCTCTCCTACACAAATACAAAAGAAAAGACGCAAAGTATGTACCTCAGTAAGGATACTTCCACATACACATTGTGATCCCAAGGCTCTGACACTGTGTTATTGACAGAAAATAACCCTGGTCTTCCTGTTTTCATTTTTAACTGAGTAAAAGTCACAAATTTAGAAGCTGGGGAAAGGAACTTAAGTTGAACAACAGGTAATAAAGCCATAATGCATTTATAATATACAAACTATGTCATTATTTATTATATGATGACACATTCATGCTATGTTTGTAGAACACCCCAAAACCCCGTTCCTGGCACAGAGAAGACAACCAACACTGGGCCCCGCTCTGCTCTCCTCACCTATGCCTTTCTGTATAAGGCACTCCTTGGCCTCGAGCTTTTTTAAAAACTAAATTTTAAGACAGTTTGTTATAATTTCTTATAATTAGAGTTGATTTCATATGTTCAATCTCTATGTATACTTAATGTGTTTATATTTCTGACAAATACACCCCTGCCTCTACTACTGATGAAGATGTCAGAGAGGCACAGACTATTAAATATTTAGAAGAGCCAGGAAGTCCACCCTCTGCTGATCCATCTCTGTCAATCATGCTCTGTGTTACTGAGCAGATGGGTCCGCCTATGCCCGCAGGCCACTGGGGTTGGCATCGAGGGGGCGGGAGGAGCACACATGCTGCTGAGACCATGCACAAAGGGAAGAAGGCCTGTCCAGACTCCAGAATTGCTTTTATTCCCCGGAACGTGGCAGATTACATCCTACTTACCAGGCACAGCCATTTCAAACATGTTTAGTGATGAGCAGTTAAGCAGAATTTTGAAAAATACACAATTAAAAACATACAGGTTGGGGTAATTTTCTTTAAGGACTTTTGGCCCAAATCAGCCCTCTATTTCCCATTTAGATATAAAATGTTGTGTGTTCTAAATATAAGGCATCATTACCATTTGATTGCATTTGATAATGTACAAAAATATCTCATAAACATTCAATTCTCAACAACCACCTGGTAACATATGGAAGCAGATGAAGCTTCTAGGAGCAGCTTGCCTAAGATCACAAGGATCAGAAGCAAGTTTGCTAACACCTGAAGGTCAGTACTTTCTGACCTATACTATCAGCCTTCCAAGGAAAAACAAAATTATAATACCTTTAGAGTAAAGCAAAGACTTTCATATACATCACTGTGTTATAGATCAATCTAAGGCTATGGAAATGGACATTTTGGAGCAAGGATAATGTCTACCCAGATACGTTTCAGCTTCCTATTTTAAGACTGACTACAAAAATTAGGCACTGATGAAGCAAATTCTCAATTTATTCAATTATCCAATTTATTCAGGATTTATTATCCCGAATCCATGTTTTTCCAGAGAGTCTACCTTTAAGAAATCCTATATAAAGTAATTTAATATTGTTTCCCTTGAGCAAAAGAATACAGAAGCCAGAAATTGGGAATCCTCTAATCTACCTTTTGTGGAGACTAATTTCAAGACCTTTAATGATAAGAAAGAGTCTCCCATTAATTAGCTCAGGGAAGGGGGCTGGCCCAGTGGTGCAGCGGTTAAGTTAGCATGTTCTGCTTCTCGCCGGCCCGGGGTTTGCCAGTTCAGATCCCGGGTGTGGACACGGCACCGCTTGGCAAAAGCCATGCTGTGGTAGGCACCCCACATATAAAGTAGAGGAAGATGGGCATGGATGTTAGCTCAGGGCCAGTCTTCCTCAGCAAAAAGAGGAGGATTGGCAGCAGTTAGCTCAGGGCTAATCTTCCTCAAAAAAAATTTTTTTTAAAAATTAGCTCAGGGATAAATAAATCAAGACTTACCTATGAGAATCCTGGTGACTAGCAAGTACTCTATCATTTTTAGATATTCCTTCTGAATAATCTATTAGAGATTTAAGAGCCATTTTCCTTCATTAATTATCAAACTATTTCATGAGATGAAATATAAAGATTATGTATTCTTCAGTTATATAATCTTTCTTCAGTTGTATTATCAGTGTTTTATTCTTTCTACACATCAAAATTTTGATAGGACAACATTTATTTAGGACGAGAAAGCAAGTGCATTATAGATTACAGATTTTTAAATAGAGTATTTCATATCGTAAAAAATAGATACTTCAAATGTGCTTAGGAACACTTCAATATTGCAGCTTAAATAATTCACATTTTTCTTCATCACGTGAATAGAAATCTCAACGTTTTAATAGAAAAATCTGTGAATTTATTTTAAAATAATCATTCCTGAAATTATTCTAATTTTCAAACTGGTATTTTTTAAGTATTTGGTTCAAATGGACAAGATAGATATTTACCGTATTTATTATTATACCTGAACCTTCCAGCAAAGTGCAGATTTTTAGGTCCCAAGGGAGAAGACTTTTTAAATTAGAACTCCTAGCACTTATATGAAGATACCTCATGGGAGTTATCTGCATTTATATCTAATCACATGTAACCTCATACGTCCCCTTGGCTTTCAGTAGGCATCTTCTCACTCGGGAAGAACATGGCACTAGAAGTCAGAAGACCAGGGATCTGGTCAGCCCTCTGCTACCAGCAAGCTTCTTATCCACAGCAAGTCACAAACCCCTTCTGCATTAGGAGTTACTCCTGTGTAGGCTGAGTAAGCAGAACTTGATGACGTCTAGGGTATATATTTTGAGGGTTCTTTCTCACTCCACAGGCCACCAGCCCCAGTCTCTGAAATTGCCGCCAAGTCCCATCCAGAAGGCTGGCCCCCTGGCAGCTGTTTGTACTGACTTTGAAAAAGCCAAGACAGGGGCCGGCCCAGTGGCACAGCAATTAAGTGAGTACATTCCGCTTCTCAGCGGCCCGGGGTTCGCTGCTTCAGATCCTGGGTGCGGACATGGCACTGCTTGGCACGCCATGCTGTGGTAGGCATCCCACATATAAAGTAGAGGAGGATGGGCATAGATGTTAGCTCAGGGCCAGGCTTCCTCAGCAAAAAGAGGAGGACTGGCAGTAGTTAGCTCAGGGCTAATCTTCCTCAAAAAAAAAAGAAAAGAAAAAGCCAACGCATAGTGGAGTGGACTGAGGTGAGCTGATGACTCAAACTGGGCTGGTCAGACTCACCCTTCCTAGAATTTGGAATTGCAATTCAGAGAGAGCCAGTCAGCCTCTGCTTGTGTGATGTGTAACTTGAAAACTGTGGAGGTTTCCACCACGGACATGGAGAAACAGAGAGAGCCAGTCCAAGGAGAGAAACAAAAATGATGCTGACGTTCAGAGAAACAATACTTGCTGAGTTCCTGATGGTTTTGCAGTTCCTAGTTCCCGATTCCTTTCTGAAGCATAGCTACGTTCCTGCCCTTGGGGCCCGTGCATGAAGCACCATGGGACCAATTTTACCACAAGGAACGAGCCAATACACATGGAAAAAATACAGACTCAGAGTGGGGGTAATAAAGGCCAGAAGAATCCACTAGATCTTATTAGCAATAATTTGCACATTAAAGCAAAACGTTTTAATGAGTAAAAAGTTTCAGTTGGGGATGATGAAAAAGTTTTGGAGATAGTGCCGATCGTTGCACAACAATGTAAATGTACTTAATGCCACTGCACTGTACACTCAAAGATGACTAAAATGATATATTTTGTTATATATTTTACCATAATTTTTTAAAATAATTTTTTTAAAAGTACTCTTTTGCATACTTAAGGACTGTTTATGTGCACACACATGTATGCGCAATTATAAACAAAAGTGTGGGTTATGAAATTAAGGTTATGGAATATAACCTTAATTATACTCTGAGTCACCTAATAAGATTCATACTGATACAACCAAAAGCTATCCCCTGAAAATAGATGGGTCCTTTCTGAAGCCATAGAAATCTTGCAGGACACAAAGGCACTCCTTAATTACTGACTCAGCAAACTGAATAACGTGAATGACAAAAACCACTCCTTAACCTGGGAAGTTCAAGCTCTTTAAGAGGTCAGATGTCCACCTCTTTTTCATATCAGTGCCTCTCTGCCCTGTCTGTTTTAAGGCGAAATTTTGAAGATAGGCAAACAGAAAAATCACCAACAAAAGTCAAGGCATACCACAAGCCAAATTCAACACTAAGATCCACTCAGAATCTTTATCAACTAAAATTTAATCAGAATTTGGAGAACGAGCCTGGCGATACATAAACACCTGTTTCCATATTCTGGTACTCGTGTTAGCGCTCATCCCTGTAGTACTAAAGCCTATTTCTTTGCCAAGCTAATCATGAACATTATATCATTTTCAAGACACTCTTTAACAAAGTTAAAATTAAATACCTACTGTTAATCAGTTCTTTGTGTTCAGCAAGGGTTTTTGCAGGATCCAGCCAATACTGTGTGAAGAAAAAAAGGGTAATTATAGAAATTAGTTGCTTTTCATTGGCCTTCACTTCAAGAATTTGCAAAGTCTAAGTTTAAATCACATTTAAATATTTAATAATAAAGCGTTTAACTTATATACACACAGAAACATACATAAGAGCTTTCTGTGGCTAGCACAGGAAAAGAAAAATGATGTTGATGTTGAGAGAGAAGCAGAGGAGAGAAACAGTAGTTGCTAGGTTCTGGATCGAATTCTCATACTGATTATAAGGGTCAGTAATATCAAGACGCTTATGAGTGAGAAAACAACGGCCATGGAGAATGCTCCCCATGTCTCTTTCCAAAGTCCCCATCACAACCCCCTACAGCCATGTCTCCCCCTAAAATGTCCTCACCCTCTTCACTTCCAGTCCTATTTCTTACAGGCATCACTGTTAGATGTTAGGAATAAAGCAAACAAATTAAATCAAATCCTCGTTAAGTATCCAGGAGATGCAGCTCAGCGCAGCTGCTAAGGGTCCGAGTCCCAGTGCAGACCCGGCTGGATTCCATCCTGGATCTCCCCTCCCCACCACCACGTAACTTCGAACAAGTTACTGGACGTCTCTGAACCATCCTCACAGGCCTGCTGTGAGGATGAAATGAGTTAATTCAAGTAAAGTCTTTAGACTAGCCCCTGGCTCATACTAAGTATGCTGCACATGCTAGTGATGATTATTATTAAGGTGTGACAGTCATTCTTAATAAGTGTCTTTACTTAGTCTAAGGTACTTGCTTATTAATTCAAATTAATCTTTAACGAACAGAATTTCAGACAATGAGGAGAGAATTCTGGCCCCAAGGAGAGGCCTTCCTTTAAATCCCACCTTTGTGAAATAAAAATCACTGAAAGGAAAAGAAACATGCCTTCAGCCTTGTCTCTCCATCTGAGGGAAGAGCAAGAGAGAAGCAGACAAAGCACAGACAAGCATCAAGGTTGCCCCAGAAGCACAGGGTCAAAGGGACTCCAGCACCCTGGAGGCTCAGGGGAGGGCAGAGGTGGAACCTCTCTCCCCTGCTGTCCTTCACAAACGGTGGAGACCCAAGGGCCAGGCTAACCAGTTTCCATTTACTCTTGTTCCTGAATGAAGAAGGGACAATTCTCACAACAGGGAGGGAGCAGCCGGCCCACCTTGAGCAATTCATTCCCAGCACTTTCACGACGCCCTGGAGAAAACATCCTCACGGCCCTGACACCCCTGGGTCAGGAAGAGTCACAAGAAGAGTCCAAGAGAAACTTCCTGCCCAGGTTCCCCTTCCCCGCCCTTCAGTTAAGGGCAGAAATGCTCTCTGCTATTTAACAGTAGCAGTAATTATAAATAACAATTATAACATTTTATACAATCCTCTTACCTTTATTCCTAATTACATATACTGTAACAGTCATTCATACTAAATCTATGTCAGTCACTTTATCATAAGATTTTATTGCAGTACAAATTCCATTCATGTACGCATAATCTTTACTATTTGCCTCTCACAGAGCAGTTTCAGTTTTTCAACTTTTTATAAAGTAAAGGAATCAATATATATAAGTGTAGCAACTTATAATACAATATTCGTTATTCTGGTCCTTATCACTTCTCAATTTTTTTTTCCCCAAAGATTAGCACCTGAGCTAACATCTGTTGCCAATCTTTTTTTTCTTCTTCTTCTTCTTCTCCCCACAGCTCCCCGGTACATGGTTGTATATTCTAGTTGTAGGTCCTTCTGGTTGTGCTATGTGGGATGCCACCTCAGCATGGCTTTTTGAGTGGTGCTAGGTCCATGCCCAGGATCCAAACTGGTGAAACCCTGGGTCGCTGAAGCAGGGGGCACAAACTTAACCAACTGGCCTCAGGGCTGGTCCCTCACCTCTCAATTTTAAAGGTCTAGAATCACTCACTTTTAAAGTAAAAAAGATATCTGAAGCAGAGGCTATCATCAGTGAACTGCCTTTGGAGCCCACAGTGGCTTTGGTGTTAAAATAATGGTTCACAGGCAAACACTGATTCATCCAAGGAGAGTAGAAGTCACTCCATATGCTAAGCTGTGTGTTGGGCACAGAGCAGACCCTCGCCCCTAGGTATACAAAGCTACAGATGCTTCTCATGGAATGGAAACATTAGGTAGGGGGACTGTTTCTTGCCATTCATTTCACATTAATGATAATCTGTACAATTTTAAAATAAATCTCTTTCCTTGAGAGCAATCAGATTTGTGAAGCAAAAAGTATAATGAAGGTTCTGAGACGAATTAGAATGACAATTTTGCAGCAAAAAAAGGAGAGTCAAGAGTCAGTCAAAAGCTGTTCAATCAGCTCAGTGCACATTAGATATGCTAGGCATATCCGGCACTCGCCGTGCACAAATCTCATTTGATCCAAATGGAAACCAGGGGTTACAGAGGTCAGATGATGATAAATGCCCTAGAACATAAACAATAAACCCACTTACACTCAACCAAGGGAGAGAAATGACCTTGGAACCAAAGCAGCCATATTATGACAGCACTTGTCATCACCCATTATCAACAAGCAATCAAACACAGCTCATGTCTGATCACCATGAAACTTATCAGGCGTCTATGCCATAACTAAAGAGGAAAAAGGGCACAAGAATTTGCCGATAAACACAGTATCCCAGTTTTAAGGCTTACATCCAGAATATTCTGCGAATATCATTTACTCAACATTTATGGAATACCCACAATACATGTTTTTTTGTGTGTCATGTCAGATCCTGTCCTGGGGAGTGTGGGAAAACAAAGATGACTGAGACCTGCCCTTATCCTCCAGGCATTCACAGCCTAGCAGGAGACACACAGACACAGAACTACAACACAATGTGGTAAGTGAGATAACAAGGTGCATAAGATATGAGACATCTCATATATTTGAGACAATAAAATTATGTACAAAGAAAATTAGCACTGCGGGGTGAGTGAAGGAAGGTGTCACTGGTAAGAAAACCTTTGAACAGTGTGTTCACACATGAAAACTTTCCCAAAACACAGAAATGGAGGAGAACAGAGCCTTAAATTTTTACAAAAATCCTGTCTACCAGCTAAACTGCTCCTAAAGCAAACGAGTCCATTTTTAAGTGACAACACAGAATGTGATATTCCAAGTCCTATACAGTTGAGTACTATATTGAAGTTAGTTCTGCCCAATAGCTAACAAAGACGCAGCTAAATCAATGTTCACAGACTTCCAGAAAGAAAAGTGGTCATTCAGTCTTTCCATCTGCCCTGGTTGGCAGAAAGGGAGGAGCAGAGAACTCAGCATGGTTTACCGCGGTGCTGGGCTATGGAATGGTTTTTCCGAATTGCGCTTTGATGTGAAGCCGTCTTGCCTACCCAGACAGTCACAAGGAGAGACAGCCCTTTCTATCCCATTCTCTCTCAACATTCAGGCAGTTCATTCTCTAGGGAAATCTTTCAAACAATCACTCTCCCTCTCCCCTTTCCCCATCTCCTCTCTCTCTCCTATTTCAAACATATACCTTGTAGTTTATATATCCTAATAAGCTGGATTCGATCCTATTTTGTAGGAAGACAACAATTAACCAAAACAGACCCTGTTCTCTCATCCTGATTTCTACAGCAGGATTCCTAACATAGGAGAAGGTTAACAGACTGCAACCCCAGCACCCAATCGCCATGGAGTTGAGATGACAGCCCTCCTCGGCTCTGACCTTTGCCAGGATGCAAGAGGCCAGCAGTTAGATGGCCTTGCCTTCTCAGTCCTGTCAATCTTAGTAACAGCATTTATGTAACCCGGGGAGAAATGACAGGCTCAAGTTCCTCCTTACCCTCTGAGAGTCTTGGCTAAACACCCCGAGCGTCTTCCATCCACCTTGGCTGATAATGTCTCAATTTCATCAATTTGCTAGGTAACAGGCTCAGAATTAGATTTTAGAACTCTAACACTGTCCAGTAAATCAATACCCTAGGCTTCAAAAGATATATATTAAATTCAGGGTCCAACCTTTCATTCGACAACTGTGCCTTTGGAGTCTCCTAGAGTTCTAATACTAGAATAAACTCTAAAAAATTTTAGACAAAGGAAGGACAGCATGAAATAATAAAAGCTTTGCTGCATTTTATGTCACACTGGGCATCATGCTGATTCTCCTTTGGAGAATTTAAGAATGCCACAATGATATTTAATAATGTTTCCTATAGACCAAAAAAAGGCTTTAAAAGCACACATAGTTTTCATCAATGTAACAAAACCACCTCTTGATCTAAGGGAATATAGAGTTGAGCATCTGCAAGGGACAATGGAGCAACAAAGATCTCAAAAAATGATAGCACTGTTCATTCCTAGGACTCAATGTAATTTGCACATATGTTCCAAGAAATCGAGGACTGTGGTGATAGCTATTTGTGCTTTTCCCAAAGCCGCTGTAGACAGATCTCAGGACCGCTAAGCAACACTAACAGGACGTGGTTTTAATTTGTTCCTTGGTATGAATCACAGAGCCTTAGGACCTCAGGTAAAACCACTGTAACAGAGCTAACTCACAGCAGGGACAAAAACAAGGGCCTGTCACTGGGTGATCTACAGTGTGTGTGTGTGTGTAGGGGAAAGGCGGGGCAATCATAACTGGGCCCTATTTTTCAGCAAAAGTGAATTCTAATGAATCACTGTTAGACCATCTGGTTCTTCATGAAGTGTCAACTGGTCCCAGGGACTATTCCTCAGTTCTCACCCATGGACCCTGGCACCACTCTAGGAGTTAGAGATAACAACAGTAATAGCCAACATTTATTAAATGCTTGCCATGTGCCAGGCACTGTTGAAGACTTCACATGTATTTACTCAGTTAACCCTCTTAACAACTCTGTAAAGTAGTAACTACTATAATTATCAGTTTACAAACGAGGAAACTGAAACACTGAGTATTTAAACAACTTGCCCAAAAGTATAGAACAGCAGATCCAAAGAACTAAACTCCCTTCCGCCTTATGCTCAGGCAAAGCCACCCTCTAGGAGACTGTCTGAATAGGAACGTTTAACCTTATTTTCAAGATTCTGAAACTCAACTACCAAATTCCCTTTTTCCAGCTCACTCAAACAATCTGATCCTACCCAGACACACAATTCAGTGACCCCACTACCTTGTCACTGTCCCTCCTCCCTGCCCCCCACCCAGTCCTCACCTCCCTCACAACCCATTACTAAAGTCATTCACTTGCAGTCATCCTCAATTCCCTGACTTTCACGTGCCTGGATTACTCTCTCCTCTCACTTTCTCACTCTCAGCTGATGATCTTGCTTATTTCTGAAAAAACTGAAACAATCAGAAAAGAACATGCATGCCTTCTCACCACATCTACCAAGCTGCCTGCATCTGTGCTGCCGTCCTGTCTTCTCTCCGATTACCACGGATGAATGTCCATGCTCCACGTAAGCCCATCCCTTCTCATCTACTCAGAAACATGGTTCCAGCAACTTGGGGCTCTCTTTCCCCCACCACCAAAGTTTCCCTTTCTACAAAATCATTTCTGGCAGAATACACGCCTTTATTTGTCCCATATTAAAAGACAAGACGGAAGCCAGCCCCAGTGGCCTAGTGGTTAAGTTCGGTACACTCTACTTTCATGGCCCAGGTTCAGATCCCGGGCATGGACCTGCACCACTGTCTGTTAGGGGTTGTGCAGTGGCAGCCCACATAAAAAGGAAAAAAAGAGGGAGATTAGCAATGGATGTTAGCTCAAGGCCAATCTTCCTCAGCAAAATAAATAAATAAATAAAATTTTAAAACACCTTGACCCCCCCCCCATATCTGCCCATTTCATTTCCATGGTGTAAAATAAGTCTCTGAAGAAAAAAAAAAGTTGTCCTACACTCTGTCTCCTCTCATGTTCTCTTAAACTCACTTCAGTACCTACTGCAATCACTTCCATGTTGTTATATCTAATGATAGATGCAGAGTACTTCATCCACTTCCTTGAAATGCATTTGTCATGTGGTTTCTAGGATACAACTCCCCCTGGCTTCTCCTCCTACCTCATTGGGCACACCTTCACAATCTCCTTTTCTGGTTGCTCATTAGCTCCCTAACCAGGAAAGGATAGACTGCCCGAGGCTCATACCTGACATCAAGGTTCATTGTTTTAAATGCCATCTATCTACTGACTATTCCCAAGTGCCTAGCCAGACCAGAATTGGCCCCTGAATCCAACTGACTACTTGACATCTCCACTTAAATGCCTACTAGAATCTCAAACTTTACATATTCAAAAGAGAAATGATGATTCTACTTGTCCTAGAAAAACCTGTTCTCCTGCAGTCTTCCCCATCTCAGTAAACAGTACAACATTCTTCCATTGGCTTCTGTCAAAACCTCTTTATTGTCTATCTCTTCTATCCATCTGCAAATCCGGTTGGGTCTATGATCAAAATAGAAACAGAATCTAACAAATTCTCACCCCTCCCAGGTCCAAGAGGCCATCACCGTTCACTTGGATTTCTCAAACAACTCCTTTAATGGCATCCTTGCATCTACCTTTGAACTTAGAGGAATTATTTTAAAACATACGTCTATAGGTCAGATCAGTTGACTCTTCTGTTCAACACCCTCTAGTGGTTTCCTTTCTTACTCAAAATAAAACCCAAAGTCCTTATGATAGTCTAAAAGGCCCTACATGATCTGGTCCCACTCCATTCACTCTCTCGTGTGTGTTTCAGAGATGAGGCAGCAGGAAGGCCCTTAAGGAGGGTGTTAATGGAAGCCTCAGGGCCCTCAAGGAGGCAAGAGAAAGCTATCGAAGCAGGAAGAAAGGGGACCTTATTATCTAGAGGCAGAAAGTTTAGCAATGCTGTTGCCTGTGGCAACCTGGAGAATAAAAGATATACCTAATGAACTGGATGATCCAGATAAGGAGATTTCCAGGCAGACTGCTGAAAGTGCCAACTGGCTTCTTTTGCTGCCTATAATGAAATGCAAGAGGAGAGATATAAGGTAAAAAAGAACTGTTAAATATAAAGGAGCCAGGACCTAATGGGTTTGAAAATAAAACTCTCTCATCCCTAGACTTATCAGAAGGCAAATGGTGCTACAATTAAGAAATAGCTTCTGGGCAAAGATTGAATCCGAGTACTGTCAGGCAACCATGAATGTAACTGTAAAACTCTTTATTACATCCTCAAAAAGATTAAATATGATGCCTCAGACCCTTTCAAACTAACAAAAGTCCTCTAAGAATCTTAAGGGCATCGTTCCCCAAGAGCCTTACAAGGAACCTAAGGCATAGAAGAGTTTATTTCAAAGTGATTTGTGAGTGTTGCCTTTGTCTAACAGAGTTGATTATAAATTGATTCATAAGAAATCCATAAAGTTTTTTAGAAGAATTATTACCGCTTAGGCTGAAAAGGATAGAGACATTACACACTGAAAAGAGGCTTTGGGACCCCCAAACTTCATCAGGCAAAAAGCAGGCTGAGCGCACAACTCAGCTGCAAACACATACTACTTTTTATGGAAAGGGAAGGAAAACTCAGAGAACAGAACCAAAAGCCCAGAGGGCAGAGTTAATCATTATAGTGAACAACTCCTAGACAGTAAGACCAAGCTCTAATCAAAGAAATGGCTACACGTGCCTGGCTTGATTTCAGACCTGTCATGGCCTAGTGACTGCTCTGTGCCTCCTGTTCCAAATGAAAGCATGTACACCAGTCATCCTGTCCTGTGTGTGTCCCGTCACTTTATGTTGAATGGGGGAAGGGGGGATACATCTTTCTTACTCCCTTAGTTCACAGGTCTTCAGGTCAAGAGGAACTATACTCAAGGGGTTGACTTGAAGAACAATATACAAAGAGTCTGATTTGATGAGATCCTGGACCTCAAGTCTGAGTTCACTGTCATAATAAATGATATTTGGGGAGACTTTCGGAGGGATGAGTGTGTTTTACATGTAGGAAGAATATATGTAGTTTTTGGCCAGAAGACAGACTCTCATGTTTTAAAGCATGTCTGCAAATTAGTTGACATTCCTCCCATAAAATGGTATAATCCAATCTCTTTTCCCTTTAAATGTGGGCTGGCCTTCTCTTCACTTCAAATCAATCGAATACAGCAGAAGTAACACTGTCTGAGACTTGGCCATAAAAGGTGATACAGCTTTTGCCCCTCCTTCCTTATCTTCCTCTGGATGCTGACCCAGGGAACTCAATTGCTACCCTGTTAGGAAGCCAAGCAACAACACGCAAAGTCCACACATCGGTGTTCCATCCCCAGCCCCTGTCAGTGCCAACACTCACCACCAGACACATGACTTAGACTTTAGTGACTCCAGCCTCTAGCCTTTGAGCTTCTCTAGCTGAGACTAAGTGGTACAGAGATGAGCTGTCCCCCGGTTCAAGTCGCAGATTCATGAGTAAAGTTTGTGTTGCCGTAATTTAAAGCTACTAAATTTGGAGATGGCTTGTTATACAGCAGTGAATAAGAGGAATGCAGCCCATTTCATCAAGATCTCTTTGATTCTCACTCTTTCATTCAACATACTCGCTGTTCCTCCTGTGTTTATGTCACCTGTGAACTTGATCAGCATGCCCTCTATGGCTTCATCCCAGCTACTGGCATAGATATGGTAAGCCCTAGGACACATCTAGAAACCTCCAAGTTGATATCATTCAAAAATCAATTCTGTCTGCTTAAGGGTAATCAAATAAACTTTCTTTTTTTTCAATTTAACCAACATTCTTCTGTTTAGTCCACAAAGATATTACATAAACTTTTCTGTATATCTTTCTGCATTCCAAATACACTAGTTTTATCACAAACAAAGAGGTCAGACATAGTTGTTTTGTTAATGGAACCATAGTGGATTATAGGAACACACTATTGTACCTCCTGGGAGCCCACAGATCATCCTGTAAAAATGCCCTCCTGCCAAGTTGTGACTGTCTCTAGAGGGGCTGCCCTACAACTGCATCTCATAGGCTGTTCCTAACCTCTTAGGTCCAGGGCATCTAATAACCAATACGTTTGGGTTTCTCCTAAAATGAAAATAGAGTCTTAGGGATGACAGATTCTATAAGAAAAGTGCTGGATTCTATGAGTGAATTCTAAGATATCAATGCTGTACTGCTCAAGAGACTTCAGTTCTTTCGTAAGTTTCATCTACATTTTGGATAACTGAAGTTTCTACCTACACATTTGTAATATCTAGACAAGTGAAGCATCACTGTTTAGACTATGGGATCATTTCCTACTGAAATAAAATCTTAAATCTGACATACTCTGAAACTACAGTAATTAAAATACATAGGTGGTAAAATTAGGTTTTTTTTAAAACTCTGTTCTAGTAACTGAATACAAATGTAGCTTTAGCTAACCAGGTAATTTACCACAGAGGAGCCAAGCCAATCCAAGGGGTTGTGAAGTAGGTGTGTAGAACTGGACCCCTGCTCAGCATCACCACACACAGTGGTGCCAAACTCCAGAGTGCCCAAATTACACGGCTAGCACAGCTATACATGGCAATCTGGCCCCTTCTCTTCCGCATTTATAGTCTCTTTCTCCCGAAATGACCTTTAAACCTTAAAAGTCTCACAACTTTAGAAACCTTTTTCTTAGTGCTGTTGAGTCAGTTCTGACTCCTAGCGACCCTATGGACAACAGAGTCAAACCCTGCCTGGTGTTTTTGTGCTATCCTCTCACCTTCTGGCATTATATGAGACAATGCTCCACTGCTGTTCGTAGGGTTTTCATGGCCAATTTTTTCGGAAGTGAGTGGCCAGGTCCTTCTTCCTAGTCTGTATAGTCTGGAAGCTCCACTGAAACCTGTCCACCATGGGTGACTCTGCTGGTATTTGAAACACCAGCAGATAACTTTCAGCATCACAGCACTCCACAGCCACCACAAGACCATGACAACTGACACATGGGTGGTATGGTTCCCTGACCAGAAACGAACCTGGGCCATGGCAGTGAGAGCACTGAATCTTAACCACTAGACACTAGGGCACCTAGTGACTCCTTAATGTGACTCTGGCCTCTTAGGAGCCCAAACTACTCACCTAACATCTCCACTTGGATGTCCACTGGGCATCTTAAGCTTCACCTATCCAAATCAGAACTATTCCCCATGCCCAAAATCCAGCTCCTCAATCAGATCCTATCACTTCTCAGTTTAAAAATCCCAATAGATTCTCATATACGTAACCTACCATAGGTTCCTGGGCCCTATGTAATGTGGACCCTGCCCACCACTCCCACTTCATCACTCCCTTTATTACTACTATCTAGCATCACGGTCTTTCAGTTCTAGAAACCTCATATTTGTCCTTGCTTTAGGGCCAACTCGACCAGCTGTTCCTTCTGCCTGTCATGCCCTCCCTTCCTGCTAATCAAGTGTCAGTTTAAATATCACCTCAGGGGCCAGCCCCGTGGCTGAGTGGTTAAGTTTGACT